AATAAAATTTAGATTTTTTTTTTATTGTAATTAACTCTGTTTTTTGAAATTTTAGTTTTTTTCACCACTCAACCCTGTGAGAGTACATATTGAGATTGGCCCAGATGGCAGAGTAACTGGTGAAGCAGATGTTGAGTTTGCAACCCATGAAGATGCTGTTGCAGCCATGTCAAAAGACAAAGCAAATATGCGTAAGTACATATAATGAGTTTGGGGCCTTATGCAGGGCAGGTGGGTGACATAAGCATTTAGGTAGAGGAATAGAATAGTAAGGATGTATGAAACATCTTTAGGGGGTTCAGAAGTATTGAAAAATGTTGAGGGTTTTTTAAATTACTGTTTAGGGATTTATGGTGATAACAGTCTTCCAAGTTCATCCTTAGTCAACACTTCATATGCCTGTTTCAATGGTAGTTTTTTAACAAATGTGGGAAACAATTGTGTTTGCCAAAAATATTTGAGGTTCATAAATCTCCTTAGAACTTTAAAAGTGCTTATCTTCCAACAAACATTTTCCTACTTTTTTCTTTTTTTTCTCATTTCAGAACACAGATATGTAGAACTCTTCTTGAATTCTACAGCAGGAGCAAGCGGTGGTGCTTACGGTAGCCAAATGCTAGGAGGCATGGGTTTGTGTAAATATCACTTTAGTGTCTTTTTTTAAAGCTAACCTTGTATACCTTTTCTCTCATTTCAGAACACAGATATGTAGAACTCTTCTTGAATTCTACAGCAGGAGCAAGCGGTGGTGCTTATGGTAGCCAAATGATGGGAGGCATGGGCTTGTGTAAATATCGTTAGTTTTTTTAAAAACCAAAACATTTATATCTGTATAAGTAGATAATAAGCTAAGTTAATCTATATTTAATTAGTTTAGCATAAGAATTCTCTAACAACAATTTTAAGTTAGAATAATAAAGTTATAACAATTAAATTTAGATAAAAGATTCTCAGTTTGAATGAATTATAATTACTGTTCATTACTAAATATTATTAGATTGTAGATCATTGAGTAAATATAAGAATTGTGGGGGAGGGGACTACTGAATATGGAACATGGTAAATTATCTGATTATAAAGTTTAAATCATCTAAAATAACTTGGTAAAAATACAAAATTAAGAAATTTGATTGGGGGGTAACAATTAGTTGGGCATAATTAGGTATTCAGTGATGTGTATTGACATACCTAGCTAAGGGGCAAACCCCACTAAATCCAGTCAAAAAGTTTCATAGGATGGTCACCAAATGCCTCTACTCAGCGAATCATGGATTAAGACCTGCTGATGCATATAATTAACCATTTGGTTTAGAAATATTTGAGTAGCTCAAATGATGACAATAAAGGTTAGTCTGGTCATAGACAGTTGGAAGTCCTCTCATAGACAATAGGCAGAAGGAGACAGATCAAGACTGGAAAATTGTAGACATAGTTACAAGCCCGGTACCATGAGGTACCACATTACATAAGGAACAGAGCTCTAATGTTCTCTTAACTTAACAGCAAACCAGTCCAGTTACGGTGGCCCAGCCAGCCAGCAGCTGAGTGGTGGTTATGGAGGTGGCTATGGTGGTCAGAGCAGCATGAGTGGATATGGTAAGCATGTTTTTTATTATACTTGGAGTAAGTTTTAGGTTTCTTTAGTTGGGATATGTATACAGGCTCCTCATAAGATTGGGGGTTTTAAATATATGGTTTTGATTCTAATTGTTCTTAATAGCTTAATTTGTAGAAACAATCATTGGGAGGGGGAACTGTTATGAATTAAAAATTAGTAATTGCAGCTTTGAAATATGGTCAAGCCAGAAAACATCTGCCTTTTTCTGTCTTGGTTAGCATTAAATCAATTTTTGATGGAGGGAGATTTTTAAATACTAGAATGGTGGTTGGGTTCAGGACTGTATTTTACTAGTCAGTTAGTTAACCTAGGGATGGTTTTATTTTTTTCAATTGGTCTTAAAGAATGGTGATTTTGGTATTATAGTCTTACCCTAAAAAATCCTTTTGCAGACCAAGTTTTACAGGAAAACTCCAGTGATTTTCAATCAAACATTGCGTAGGTAAATATTTTCTCAAAAAATATAATTTAAATTCCCAATAGGAAATACTGATATGTGGTAATAATACTTCCTATAATAGTCAATGGCTCTGATTTAACTCCATAGAGGCTGCCATTTTGGGCACAGTGAGTTGCCTTTAGTCCAACTTTTGTCTTCTCACTTCCTGCCCACCATGAATAGTTTGAAATGCAAAGCAAGAGACTTCCCCTGTGCTCCCTCTTCATATGCCATTCGATGGACACATTGTGAATGTTTATGGTAATTTTTTAAATGCCTTGTTTAGCTTTAAAAACAAAGTAATTTTGCAATTTTTGAAAAACACTAGTTTTCCTTTAAACTTAAATTTCTACATTGATCCTGAAGAATCCGCGCTTAAATGGTAGCACAAGAGTCTGGCAAGTTGGTACTGCAGAGAAAAGGGTTTAATTGAGACTTGTTTGGAGTCGGGATTCCCTTTTCCCAAACATGCTTCTCGCCACTTGGACAGCAGCCATTTGCACTCGTATACCTTTTAAACTTTATCTTGGAATACTATATTTTATTTGACTGATTATCTGACATCACTCCTAACTTGTTAAATGAATCTCTTTGCAGGTAGCCAAGGAGCATTGAACAGCAGCTACTACAGTAGTGGAAGCCGTGCATCTATGGGCGTGAACGGAATAGGAGGGATGTCTAGCATGTCCAGTATGAGTGGTGGATGGGGAATGTAACTAACTGATTTTGATCACTGACTCTTGGTCAACTTTTTTTTTTTTTAAAGGGGGAAAAGCCCTTCAGTTTGTTTTTTGCAATCCAGCCTTGTGATTTATGCCTACTCTATAAGTGAGAATTGGGATCACTTAAAGGTTCAATATTTTTGAACATGGCAGACATCTAGGATGTAACAGCAAAGTTGAGTAAACTATAATAACTGTTAGACAATTTTCAGCTTTTCTCTAGTTATATTGTAGGATGTACTTAAGCAGTAAGTGTATTTAGGTTAAAGCAGTTGAATTATGTTAAGTGTTGCTCTTATACTACATTACATTGAACAGTTTGGATGCATGTTGGAAGACATGCTTTTTTGTAAAACTATAGGAGCTGTGTCTACAATTAAAAGTGAAACATTTGGCATGTTTGTTAATTCTAGTTTCATTTGATAACCTGTAAGGCACGTGAGTTTAAGGCTTTTTTTAAGTTAATGGGGAAATTTTGAGACGCAATACCAATACTTTAGGATTTTGGTCTTGGTGTTTGTATAAAATTCTGAGGCCTTGATTTAAATCTTTCATTGTATTGTGATTTCCTTTTAGGTGTATTGCGCTAAGTGAACCTTGTCAAATAAATCTTCCTTTTAAAAACTGCACTTTGTCTTGTCTATGCCTCAGTGTCATGTGGACTTTCTTGGTGCTCTCTTCCTGCCCGGGGCGTAGGTCCATGTCTCTGGCTGTGACGGCAAGGCTTGGCAGTTGAGGCTGCTGTTGTAGATGTCTTCAGACTTCTCTTCCTTCTAGTGCAAACTGCAGGTAAACTTGGCTTGGGGCCCTCGTGGAAGGGCTGGCTGCACAGGACCTGGTATGAACTTGTAACTTTTGCTATGCACATGCACAAAGCTAAAGGGAAAGATGCCATTCCCACACTGCATGACCTGCATGTCCAGGTGGCTTTAACCTGCTGCAGTCACAGAATTTTATATGGGATGTCTTTTAGGAGGTGGCTACCTAATTTTTAATTTTATGTGTATGTGAGTGTTGCCTGCGTGTAGGTAAGTGCACCTGTGTCGTGCAATGCCCATGGAGGACAGAGGTTGGAACTGGAGTTACGGACTGTTAGCTGCCATGTGGGTGCTGGGATTTGAACCTGGGGCTTCTGCAAGAACCACCAGTGTTCTTAACTGCTGAGCCATTTTCTAGCCCCATTTAATGTTTTGATGCTTGTGGGGTTTTGCTTTTTTTTCTGAGATGATTTCCATGTGTATCCTAGGTTGGCCTCACACTACTCTTTAGCCTCAGACTCAACCTCCCGAGTGCTGGCTGAGGGTTGTTGTGCTGCCATCTATTATGTCGTGCTTTATCTTTCATTTATTGATAGTGTTGGTGATGGAATTGATTGAATCCAGGATATTAGCTAGGCAAGTGTTCTGAGCTACACCCCAGCCCTCAGATGACTCTGGAATTTGAGAGGCTGGAACTTCATATCTTATTTTTTACCTTTATACCGTTACTCCTAAAAGCCCATTCACTTAGAAACAAAATGCTTTTTACTCTAAGCCATTTGAGGTAGAATACCAAATTTGCTTTACATTCATTGTGTATATGCTGTGAATGGAGGTCAGAGGATAACTTGTGGGAAGGGAGCCTGTTCTCACAGATTTGAGAGGCACTTTCAGCCTTCCATGTCAACCTTGGAATACTGGATATCTGGGAGGGACAAGGAACTCAAGTGACAACCAGCAAACATTGAATTACAGAAGTTGAAATAGGGAGTAGAGCCAGGCGTGGTGGCGCATGCCTTTAATCTTAGCACTCTGTCTCAAAAAGACCCCCCCCCCCCACCAAAAAAAAAGGGAGTAGAGAGATGGTTTAGTGGTTAAGAGCACTGGCTCCTTGCAGGTCTGGGTTTGGTTCCCAGCACCTACTGGTGGGTAAAAACTACCTGTAACTCCAATTCCAGGGGATCTTACACCCTCTTCTGGCCTCTCCAGGCACATCATGGCACAGGTGCACTAATATACATGCAGTCAAAATGCTCATACACAAAAATACGTTTTTTGGTCTTTTTGAGACAGGGTTTTCCTGTAGCCCCAGCTGTCCTGGAACTCACTATGTAGACCAGGCTGGCCTTGAACTCAGATCCGCCTGCCTCTGCCTCCTGAGTGCTGGTATTAAAAGCGTGCACCACCACGCCCGGCTTTCAAAAATTAATTTTAAAAGGTGAAATAGAGGTATAGGCCCAGGCTGTTTTTTAGTTAAGTGTTCAAGGGCATTGCGTTTTGGGAACAGACACGTGTAGTCTCAAATGGTACTGAAGTACAGAATTAGAGCTGCAATGATGTTGGCTTGTGCCAAGTGAACTTCCCTGTGACTGTGCTGACGGTTTTCTCAGGTTCCTGCAAAAAGTTAGCAATGGTAGCTTGAACGGAAAAGGATTTCTATTGGCCATTTCTGTCTTTAGTATTGAGTGTAGAACTATGCAGAGCCTCTTGGCTGTGATCCATACAGTTCCACTCCACTGTTGGGAAGTTGAGTGTGTGTAGGAGAGGCAGTGTTGAGTTGGTTAAGCTAAACCTTGTACTTCTGATATCTTCATGAGTTCACTTAATTTAGAGAAGTCTTGAGGGGTTCCTTCTCTGGGTCACTGAGTTACTTTTACAATTACTGGTGATAATTTGAAACTTGGCCTAGTAAAGGAAGAGAGAAGGGTATTAAACCTAGGAACTTGAAGCAAATTAGCTAAGAATTATTTGCTTAGCCCAAGACCATTAGGCTTTTAAAAAGGTAACTTAAGGATGGGTGTGGTGGTCTATGCTTTTAATCCTAGCAGTTGGGAAATCTTTGTGAGGCTAGCTTGGTCTACATGGTAAGCTTCAAGCCAGCTGGGGCTACAGGGACACCCTGTCTCAACCCCCTATCCTCAAAGGGCTAGAGAGATGACTTAGTGGTTGAGTGCTGGCTGCTCTTACAGAAGACTGGGGTTCAGTTCCCAGCACCCAAATGGTGTCTAACAGTGGTCCATAACTCCAGTTCCAGGGGATCCAATGCCCTCTTAAAAGTGTCTGTGGGCATTGCACCCATGTGGTATACTTAACATGCAGGCACTGGGGAGGCAGAGCTGCGCAGGTGGATCTCATGAAATACACTTAAAAATTAGAAATTCAGACTGGTTGTAGTGGCATGCCTATACTCCCAACATTCAGGCGCTGAGGCTCAAGGATAATAGTCTAAGCTATTCTGGCCTACACAGCTACATTGTCTCAACAAAACAAGGGCTGGCAAAATGGCTCAGCGGGTGTTTTTGTGTTCCATTGGCCAGCCTCATCCCATGACTTGGAACTCCTGAGTTTTATTTGTACTACTTGTGACTAAACCCAAGGCCCTGTAGTCCCAGCTGGCCTTGAACTCACTATGTAGACCTTGAAGGCTAGCCTTGAACTCAGAGTTCCACCTGCTGCCAGCCTTTTTTTTTTTTTTTTTTTTTGAGTCCTAGGTCTCTCCCTTGGCTGGCATCAAACTCCTAGGGATCTACCTGCCTCTGCCTCCACCTCCCCAGTGTTGGGATTAAAGGTGCCCCTATACCCAGCCCAATCTACACTTTCAAACAAAACTTGACTGGAAGGTATGTGCCAGACAATGACTGAAGTTTTTAAGAGTGAGATTTGAATTTTGTATAAAAAAAGGTGGCTTGACCAGGCAGCTAAATATTGGTGGCTTAGGTGCCTGGATCCATTGGGAATAATGATTATTGAATATTTGTTATTTTGAGAGGGTATAATTGAATTTGGAGGGAAAAGAGAAAAAGTGGACAGGAATAGGACATCACTGGTGGGGATTCTCATGTACACTTTTACTGAAGTTACCAGCATTGGTGTTAGAACAGGAAGGGAATTATCGTTTTTCGTGTGTGCATGGACATAAGATCTAAGGCTCAGGAGTGAAATGACTTGCCTAGGGCTCCGAGCAAGCTGGATTCTAAATTGAGTGCGCTGAAAACAAGGTCCAGACTCAGCAGTTTGGGGACAATGTAGCTTTTCTGAAAACTTGTGAGGTTAGTAAATGGGCTCAGGTTATGGTAGGCAAGGAGCAGATTACCTTCTGGCCTTTTTCACTGTGTGTGCTTCTACAGGTTTAAAAAATCCTGCAGTTTACAGAATGGCTTCAGAGCTGCTGAGGCCTGGTTTTAAAGCCTAGCTACACAGTTCCTTGCTGTGTAGGAGGCGGGAGACAAACCGGCATGGGCTAACCTCAGAGAACCTTTTGTTTCTCACCTGCAAAACTTGCAATGTTCCAAGTGCCAGAACCTGTATGAACTGAAGTGAATAGGCAGGAGAGCCAGGCGGGGATTGTTGGGGCAGAGCCTGGAATGGTGAACATCAGGCAAGGGAATTGGTGAGAAGTGAAGGTGCAGCAGGTTGGGAGCAAGATGTCAAATGTAGAAGGTATGAAGCCTGGAAGTCAGGTGAATGTCTGCATGTTTCTAGAGTAAAATCTCAGGCCAGGCAGGCAAGATGGATCATTGGGTAAGGGTGCTTGCTGCCAATCCTGACCTGAGTTTGATCCCTTGAACACAGGGTGGAGAAAAGAATTGACTCTGGTAAGCTGTCCTCTGACTTCTACACATGCACCTTGGCAGTTGTGTCCATCCCACCTCTGCTCCCCAACAGTCTCAGTCCTGGATAGCATGATATGGGGATGTGAACTTGCACTCAGGCAGGACCCCTAAGGAAGATGGAGCAAACTTTGTAGCCCACAACACAGCCTCTATCTTATGATGGTTTGCAGTGGTATAAGAGCACTTGTATAGCTGCTTTCAGTATAATTTTCAATAAATTACCTAATCCATCATCTATAAAATGGGCTTTGTGTTGGGCTGGGAATTGTGGCACATGCCTGTAATCCCAGTACTTGGGAGGTGGACACCAGAGGATCAGTTCAAGGCCAGCCTTGCCTACATCTGGAATTTGAGACCAGACCAGATGTGTTTGCCCATGTACAAGCTAAGAGAGCATTTTATTTTTATGAGTGTATTGCTTGCATGTAAGATAGGTGCACTCATGTCATACAATGCCCATGGAGGTCAGAAGAATTTGTTGGATCCCCTGGAATTGGAGTTACAGTTAGCCATCATGTGGGTGCTGGGAATAAAACCCAGGTCCTGTGCAAGAATAGTCAGTGCTCTTAACTACTGAGCCATCTCTTTAGTCCCAATGTTTGAGCATTTTAGGCAAGCTTCGCTAGGCTATGCTGAGACCAGAAGGCATACTGAATTCATACATGAATTTGTTCAGGGTACAACCCGACTGGGTCAGGCATTCTGTAACTTAGCTCTGGTGACAAGCTCAAGTCCTTTATTCTCCAACCTGTCCTTAGTTCACCTGGGTGGAGCACCAAACACAACAGCTGAAGAGCTCCAACCCAGTTTGTTCAGCCCTCCACATGCAAGCTGGAGGAGGGACTCTGGTTGACACTTTCTGTACAAGAGCGAAAAATAAAGGATTTTATTGTAGGGCTAACAAAAGGTGTTCACAAGGGCATGATGGCAAACCCAATGACATGAAGCAGACAGCATGCTGACAACTACATAGTTCAAAGCACTGGGTAAATTATGGTTTCTATGGGGTGGTGGGTGGGAAACAGAAAAGGGGATTGCATACTAGCGCAACTGCTGCAAAAATAGGTTAATCCTTGGAAAAGTGACAGTAGCAAAATCATGAATTTACATCTGAACCAAGGATGAAACTAAGGGCATGGAAGAGTCAGTCCAGAGGAGCTGGCTCTGTATAAGCCACAGGAAAAGTGCTCTGCTGCCATTTTGGGACAGTGTCTTTGGACACTGAACTACCTGGCAAGGATCTTGTTCTTCCTTTTGGGGTCCCACTGGTACTTGGAGACCCAGAGTTTGGCACTGTACCTGAGACTGCCCTCTACCCTGAGGACAGAAGTCCATTCACTTTGGGCAGCTGACTGGCCTCAGGAGGTGGTGGATGAGCAGCGTTGCAGCAGCAGTGTGTGGCAACTGTCACACACACGCACTGGCTTAGGGTAGGAGGGCAGAGCCAGCTCATTGCTGGAGCAGGTGTTGCAGAAGATGTGGCCACAGTTTCGGCAGTGATGCTGGAGGGCAGGAGAAAAGCTGTCAGACACCTGGGACCCACATACCTGCTCTTATTCTGTAAGGCCTGTCTTGTTCACCTTAGAGCGGTGACTCAATGTGTTTTTAGCCAGCATCTCCCAGTTGGGTGTGGGCGGTGATGGTTCACTTGATTAGCAGGACTACCAGCCTGGTTGGGTTTGTTGGGTTCTTGGGGCATGTGAGGAACATCAAGCTGAGCTCAGGCAATTTCTACTCTTGGTACTACAGACCATCCCTGGACTGTTCATATGGTGACAACCAGGTTGTGCTGTCCCTGCCATCAGCAAGACTTTGCTTCACTGTTTTTCCACAGATGATATGCGAGTCCCCACCACGGTGGGCAGATGTTCCCTATAGTTATTCCATCAATCTTCCCAGCCCAAATACTGCCCAACTCTGTCTTTGAGGCAGTTCATCAAGGTCCTGATACCATGTATCAAAGTAGGGGATTTAGGACTTTTTACTCCCAGAGTGGAGGCAGGCTACACAGGTAGAAGCAGATTTAACCAGGTCACCCAGTGAGGTTTTGGTGACCTGCCACCTCAAGTTTCCATGGGTGGTTTGTGCTGGCCCTGCTACATACAAAGGATTCTCACTGGCATACTCACTTAGAGCAGCTCTGTACACAAACAGCCACTGCCTAAAGTAGTGTCAGTCATGAAAGGATGTAGGGGTATGGGCCTGTAACCAGCCAGGGCCTCCAGAAAGGGCAGGGCAGGAAGGAGGGGGGCTGCCTGGCTGCTGACCAATGGGCATGGCTGCACTGCAGTAAAAGGCTTTTCCTTAAAACCAAGAAGGGAACTGTAGTGCAGTGTGGGGCAACTTCTACATACCTTTCTTCGGGAAATGGAGAACTCCTTTTCACACTGCTTACAGTGCGTTGCTTCATCGTCTTTCAGCCATGTGTGGCCCTGTGTGGAGGAAGAAAGAATATCCAAGAACTCCTGTGCCAGCCTGCAGTTGGCTGCATCTATAGGCCTGTTCTATATAATTGTATCTAATTTTCTTTGGAGGTTTTGCTGCTTTACCAGATGTGACCTCATGAGACTAATGGAGGCCTTTCTCCCAGTGGCCACAGCTGGCATTCCTAGGTTCCTTATAAAGTACCTGTGTTCCTTATAAAGTACCTTGTGTTTGGTCACAAGACAATCACCCAAGACACCCCCATGTCATTTCAATGTCTCCTATAGACTTACATGTCAACATAGACATGATCCTATGACTAGCTAAACTGCAGGAGGGCTAGAGAGCTCACTAAATCTGAACAAACAAGTGATCTGGACATCTTGCAGAGAGAAGCAGTATTGGGGGATGGGGGCATGGCTCTTCCCCAGCCTGGGCCCTCAAATGGTCCTGGAAAGCAACTTAGCGCCATCATAGGATAGAAAACAGGCTTTCGAAAGATGCTGTTTGGGAAGTCTACCAAGAAAAACTGGTAGGTATTCGCTCTTAGGGATTACTGTGTGATCCAGAGAGGTCAAAGACTGCATATCCATGGGTGCAGCTTTCTGGGTGACATCTTCAGTACTGTGTTAGAGAAGCAGGCTTCTGGGCTATCTAAGACCCTGCTTGCTTTGTAGAGAGCTCCTGGAGTGGTTTGCTGTCACTGATTATCAAACACTGCACAGTGAGGGATACAAAGATAGGTTGCTCACCGCTATTATATTCAAGGAGTGCTTTTGGTCTGCAAAGGACATTAGGAGCAGGCCAAGAATCCATGTATTTGCTGGGCTAAAGAGGGATGGGGGAAGGAGACAGACCTTGGCTGCCACCCTTTCTGAGAGCAGCTGGCTGTGGAGCTTGGCATCCTATGTAGGCTCTTTAAAGCAGAGGGCCCTACCTCTTCGAAGGACCCCTTTCTGTCTTTCAGCCTCTGCTCTGCTGTGGTGACTGGGCAGAGGCAGGCCTCTTCCACCTGACACCCTGTGTGATGGCAGCCAGTAGGCACCGCCCCTGCCAAGGTACTCTGCCATTTTTCTTCCTCCTTCAGAGTACCTGTCACCTAGGCCTATTTTCAGACTTGCTGACAGCAGAGGAATTGCAACTAGAAGAAGAGTTAGGTTCAGCTCACACCTGTCCACCTGCAACACTGACACCTGGGAGCCACAGCCAACTGTAGCGCCATGTGGGACTCTAGGAGCACAGAGTATGTGCATAAGCTCACAAGTAGTGTTTTTTGCTAATAAAAATATCACCCCAGTACCTTCAGTGCTTTATTTACTTCCTTTATGTCTTCCATCTTCAGTTTGGACCTGGGGGGGCGGAAAATATTTTGTATCAGTAGCTATGTGGCTGTGTAAGGATAAGGACACTGAGAACAGAAGGGAAGAGAACATACCAGGGGCCTCTCTAAAATGTTTCCCATGTTGGTGGACTTGGAGAGTCACATTTCATCCCTTGGTTCATGCGTCTGCTGAGCTTTGTGCCTAACCTGACCCAAGAACAGACTGGCTAGGGTTAAAAGTAATTTTGAATTGGTTGTAATCATTTAAGAACAGTGAAGGATGATTTTGGAAGTTCAGGTTTCTGGCTTCTCTGGGTAGTTGTCCCCCCATATTATGTGCTTATGTAGTTGGGTGCCACTTTTAAAATTTTTGTCTTTTCTGAGACAGGGTCTCCCTGTAGCCCCAGCTAGCATGGAACTCGCTATGTAGACCAGGCTGGCCTTGAACTCACAGAGATCCGCCTGCCTCTGCCTCCTGAGTGCTAGGATTAAAGGCATGTACCACCATGCCTGGCCTTTATGTGTATTTTACACATAAAAAAACCCAAAATATTAAAAAAACAAAAAACCCACTGAATCATCTCCAGCCCCTGGGTGCCACTCTTAGGGACCTCAATCTCAGAGGGTTTCACCTAGGCTTGAGCCTATCCTGAGCTGCTCTACCACCATGCCCCTCAGCTAAGGGGTGTGGCCGTATACAACCCAGACAGGACTGCCGAAGAGCTGCTTTTGAGCTTTTCTTCCCTTGTCTCTTCTTCCTGCAAGCGCTTGTCAGGTGACTTGTCAGGAAGAAATGCCTATTTTCAGACCCTTCTACCAAAGAGAGATTTCCAGCCTTGCAAGGAGGTGGCCAAGAGCTGGTCCTTACTGGCTTAGGTGCAGGCCCATTTCCTGGAGGGCTTGCTCCTGCTCTTCACAGACCTTCTGCAGCTCTGTCTTCTCATCCTGGAGTTCTCGCAGCTCCTGAAGGGGACAAGCCATACATAACAGACAATTGCAATATTTTTTTTTTTTTTTTTCAGGTTTAGTAATGAGAGCAACAAACATCAGAATCTGAATGTTCTATAAGAGCAAAAAGCAATTTTGGTGCATTAGCATCATCTAAGACATGGTTCTTTTGTGGATTGACTTTACACCACTCATCTGCTATAGGCAGATGACAGTTTGAGGCCAGCTTGGGCTATGTGAGACCCTCTCAAACAGTAACAAAAAGTGGCTCTCAGCTAGATACAAGGACATGGGATGGATGAACTACATTCAGGCCCATTAAGAATAAATTACCCCATTGGGGCTGGCAAGGTGGCTCAGCATTTAAGAGTTAATTGTTTTTGTAGAGCAGCAGGGTTTGGCTCCTGGCACCCATATAGCAGCTAACCAGTGTAACTTCAGTTCTAGGGGATTCGAAGTCTGCTTCTGGCCTTGGTACTGTACTCACTTGGTGCACAGAAAACATAAAGTGGCATATATACCCATCATAAATACCACAATGGGCAAATCAAACTTTGCCCATGTTGAGTTTGTACTAAAGACAGAGGTTTTAAAAACAGCTATTAAGCTGGGCATGATGGTACACACTTTTAATCCCATCACTCAGAAAGCAGAAGCAGGCAGATCTCTTTGAGATTGAGCCAACCTGGTCTATAGGGAGAATTCTAGGCCAGCAGGTGTTGTAGGGAGACCCTGTCTCAAAAAACTAAAACCAAACCAAACCAAAACCACAACTGTCTGAGCTGGGCATGGGGGTGCAGACTTGTAATACTAGTGCTTGGGAGGTGAAGATGGGATCAGGAGCTCAAAAGTGACATCCCCTCAGCTATCTGGAAAGTACATAGATCAACCTTATATAGGTTATGAGGAAGCTTAGCTTCAAAGGTAGCTTTAAAATTTTTGCTTTTACACTGGGTGTGGTGGCGCATGCCTTTAATCCCAGCACTTGGGAGGCAGAGGCAGGCAGCAGCCTGGTCTACATAGTGAGTTCCAGGCCAGTTGGGACTACAGGGAGACCCTGTCTCAAAAAAACAAAACAAAACAAAAAAACAAACCGAAACCAAAACAAAAAAGACCATAAAAATTTTGCTTTTACATTATGTGAGACCTGCATGCCACTGCTCTCATGTGGAGATCAGAGGGTAACTTGAGGGAATGAGTTCTCCTTTGCACCATGTGGGTTTCACAGATCAAACTCAGGTGTTCAGGCTTGGCGGTAAGTGCCTTTATCTGCTGAGTCATCTTGCTGGCCCTAAAGTTTATTTTAAAATATCTTTGAGGGGAGGGGGCTAGAGAGATGGCTCAGCTGTTAATACTGGCTGCTCTTGCAAAAGACCTGGGTTGTGTTCCCACCAACATCATAGCAGCTAACAACTGTCTCTAACTCCTGTTCCGGGGGTTTGATGCCCTCTTCTGGCCTCTGCAGGCATTCCAAGCACATGGTACACTTACATGCATGCAAAACACTCATACACATGAAATAAAAATAAATAAAACTGCCAGGCATGGTGGTGGTGCACACCTTTAATCCCAGCACTTGGGAGGCTGAGACAAGTGAACTCTTGAGTTCAAGGCCAGCCTGGTCTACATAGTGAGTTCTGGGCCTGCTGAGGCTACAGGAAGACCCTGTCTCAAAATAAATAAATAAAAATAAATAAAACTGGGGCTGGAGGGCTGGAGATGGCTCAGCAGTTAAGAACACTGGTTGTTCTTCCAGAAGACCCAGGTTTGTATCCCAGCACCCACATGGCAGCTAACAACTGTCTGTAACTCCAGTCCCAGGGGATCTGAGCCTCTTCTGATTTCTGCAGGCATTGCATGACACAGGTACACTTACCTACATGCATGCAATACATGCATACACATTAAAAAAAAATGGGGCTAGAGAGTTGGCTCAGCAGTTAAGAGTACTGACTGCTCTTGCAGAGGACCTGGGTTTAATTCCCAGCACCTACATGGCAGCTAACAACCATCCACAACTCCAGTCCAGGGGATCCAACACCCTTTTCTGATCTCTGGGGGGAATGCACAATGAGTGCACTTACATACACGCAGGCAATATACTCATACACATAAAATAAATTAAATTAAATTAAAAAATATCTTTGGGCCAGCAAGATGGCTCAGTGGATTAAGGCATTTGCAGCTAAGCCTGACCACCTGAGTTCAATTTCTGGAACCCACATGGTGGAAGGAGAGAACTGATACCTGCCAGCTGTCCTTTGGCTTCCATATGTATGCTATGGCACACATAGGGAGATGTGCATACGCAGAAATAAAAGTAATAAAAATAATTTTATTGTTTTTTTTTGGAGATGGGGTCTCACTGTGTAGCCCTGGCAGCCTGGAACTCACTATATAGACCCGGCTGGCCTTGATCTCACAGAGATCTGCTGCCTCTGCCTCCCAAGTGCTGGGATTAAAGGTTTGTGCCACCTGCCTTTGCCTCCTTGAGTACTGGGATTAAAGTCATGCACCACCACACATGGCCTAAAAATAATTTTAAATTCGGGGCATGGTGGCACAAGCCTTTAATCCCAGCAGTTGGGAGGCAGAGGCATCAGATCTCTGTGAGATTAAGGCCAGCCTGATCTACATAATGTTCTAGGCAAGCTGGAGCTACAGGGAGGCCTCAAAAACAAACCAAAAACACAACCCTCCCCCCAATTTAAAAAAAAGATCTTTAATAAAACTCTGCTTCATATAGGCTAGTACTGAAAGTGTTTTCTGCATCAAAGCCATGAATCTTGAATTTGCCTGAGGTCCCTAAAAGATAAGGGAACTCTTCAGGCTGCTGGAGATGACAGTAGGGAGTTGTGGAGGAGGTATGTAAAAATTCAAATACAGAATAATTATTTTTAGGTCGGTATGTTCAATGACAGAGGAATTTTCTAAGCTCTTCTGCCCAGTTTCTTCCCTTTTCCTCTCTGAGTCTGGCCCAGCTCTTGAGCCCCTTTCTTCTCTTGAAGCCCTTTCTAAGACCAACCCATAGAGTCTGGGTTCAGCAGCATTATCAAGGTCAATGCAGCAAAGCACAGTTCTGACGGCTGCCCTAGCACCAGACAGACCACCTCCACTAGGGTGTGCTGAGAGTAGTGTGCTTTTTGCTCTATCACCCTAGTGGCGTCAGTAAGTCTTGGAGCCTGATAACCAGGGTGCATGGAGGCATCTAGGAAGTCATAGCCCAGAGGTTGCCATTGGCTGTCTGGAGTCCTCTGGCCTTTTGCAAAGATGGCTGGGGAAACTTTCAGGTACTTCTGTTTCCTGGAAGGTCTGCTTCTATGACTAGATGGTGGCACTAGGCCAGCACTTCACTTCTTGCTCTCTGAAGCCCATGGGATCCAGGCTGTGCCTACAAGTGAGGTAGGGCCTCCAGTGGACTGAGGTGATACCAGAAAGAAACAACAGTCCTGGGCTGATTATGGATTCTGGTCCTGGTTCTGTCTGCCTCCCCAGGATGACTTGACCCAGGGCAAAGTGGCCAGTCAACCTCTGAGGAGAAGCAAATGCTGTGTGCACTGGTATTTGCTGGAAAATGTTGGCTGGTTCCTTATAGGTTCTTCTCAAGGGAGCCTGGTACTGATGCTCTGCATAGTAGTCCTTTTGTTGTTGTTTTAAAGATTTATTTTACTTTTAATTATGTGTATGTGTGTGTCTATGCATATGAGTGTATGTGCCTGTGGAGGCCAGAAAATGCATCAGATATGCTGGAGTTACAGGCACATGGTGTGGTGCTAGGAGTCCTCTGCAAGAGGATAATGTGCCAGGCGTGGTGGTGCACACCTCCAATCCCAGCACTCGGAAGGCAGAGGCAGGCAGATCTCTGAGTTCCAGCCCAGCCAGGTCTACAGAATGAGTTCCAGGACAGCTGGGGCTACAGGAGACCCTGTCTCAAAGACGCACCCCCCACCAGCTATGTGTTTTTATGATCATCTTCACTGAAGAGGACTGCTCACTAACAAGAGCACTGCCTGGCTCTCCCTCAAGCCTCTGCCTGTCCGTGCTCCATACAGCCCTTCCTTCTGAAGCATATCTGGCTGGCTTGGTGTCCTACCACTTGCTTTGCCACCTCCTCTTAAGATAGATGCCTGGTGGGGGTGGGAGCAGTTGCCCAAGGTCCAGCTTCCACGTAGGCGAGAGGGGCCTTTGCCAGGCTTCTGGAGAATGCTCAGTGCCCCCCCCCCCCCCCAGTCTCTTACCTTCTTTAATCCTTCCACTTGTTGCAGCTCTGTACGGAGTACACAGGAGGTGTCTCTCTCATGGTGTAATTCTCGCTGAAGAGCTTGTCTTTGTTCTTTTTCTGATTTCAACTCTTTCTCTAGACCTGAGCTGTTTTCCCAAAATGAACTGGAGTTATTTTTGGTGGGATATTTCCAAGGAAGATCTACAATCCACCACAAAGGACATGGGGACCATCTGAATAACCACATGGACATGGGAACCCTTCGACAAGGAATGGAAGCAGGCCTCCCTCTCCCTTGGGGCCACCTGCACCTCCACTGGGCTAGGAGTGCACATACTTGGTCGTCATGCCAATGGGGAAAGGGGACAACATTGAGGACACACATGGACCTAAGCAGCAAGAAAGTATGGCATCTGCTTGGCTTTTTACAGCTCATAGTCAAGACAGGAGGTTATAGGAGTGATGGGGAGGGAGTGATCAAGGTCAGGGTGAGCCTCGGTGAGATCTGAGTAGTCTTCTCAACAGCTGAGGAGCCTGGGGACATAGCAGGGAGCTGGAGGCTGCATGCTCAGTTCGCTCTTGTGAGCCAGAGTTGAGTTTTTCTTAGTGTACAGACTCTCATGCTAACCCAGCCCTACAGGGGTAAACTTGGGTGGGACCTAGCTGCCCTCCACTCTTCTTGGAGACAAGAACAAGGTAGGAAGCTGCCTCCCAGATCTCTCGGCTAACCCCTGCCACCTGGCCTAGCTCCTTACCATTGCTCATGCAGTTGTGACAGCTGCAGCTGCAGGGCACTGACCCTCCCACCAAGCTCCTGCTGCAGCTTATGGCTCCGCTCTTCAGCTCCCTGTCTTGCTCTTTCCGAGTGCTGTAACCTAGAGACAATGCCAAGCACATAGAGATCCCTTCTTGTTTTTTTGAGACGGTCTCCCTGTAGCCCCAGCTGGTCTGGAACTCACTATGTAGACCAGGCTGGCCTTGAACATACAGAAATTCGATTCACCTGCCTCTGCCTCCCAAGTGCTGGGATTAAAGGTTTCTTTGTAAGGAGAGGGTCACCTCTCATAACTGAAGATAAAGCTCTTGGCTGGCTTAATTGCTTAAATTGAGCTAGGGTCTTCCTATGTAGCTTAGGCTGGCCTCAAACTCATGACCTTCCTGTCTTAGCCTCTCAAGTGCAGGATACAGGTGTGCACTGGCATGCCTGGCCTGTTGTCTCAGTGAATATTTGTCTAATGGATAATGCTGCATCTCTTCATAACTTACTCACTGTCCATGTGTCCTCCTGTGTTCAAGCCTTTAGCCTAAATTTTTTAGATTTATTTTTATGTGTATGAGTATTCTGCCTACATGTATGTAAGTGCACCTGTGTAGTGCCAGAAGAGGTCAGAAGAGGGTGACATCCTTGGAACTGGAGTTATGGATTACTATTAGCTGCCATGTGGGGGCTGGGAACCGAACCTGGGTCCTCTGCAAAAACAGCCAGTGTGCTTAACTCCTGAGCCATTTCTCCAACTCTTGTTTTTTGAGACAAGATCCTCTGTAGCCCTGGCTGACCTGGTGCTTGCTATGTAGACCAGGCTGGCCTTGAACTCACAGAGATCTGACCGCCTCTGCCTCATGAGTGCTGGGATTAAAGGCGTGCACCATGCACTGTTCTTATTTTATTTCATTTTATTTCTGAGATACGGTCTGGCTATACAGCCCAGGCTGGCCTTCAATTTGTGATCTTCCTGCCCTGCAGCTGGGATCACAGTGTACCACCACACCTAGTTTCCTTTTGTTCATTTTTTCTTTTCTTGTGTGTGATGTTACAAGTATCTGATGTGTGTGCATGTGCACAATTGTGTGCATGAGTATGGGCACATATGTGCTATGGCACATGTAGAGGACAACCTTCAGCGCCAGTCCTTGCCTTCTACCTTGTGTGAGCTATGATTTCCTGTTGCTTTGCCACTGTGTCCACAGGGCTAGCTGCCCTGTGAGCTTTTGTGGATTTTCCTTTCTCTGCCTCCCATCCTGCCACAGGCACATAGGTTTTACAGACATGTGCTACGGTGCATGGCTTTATGTGGGTTCTGGGAACTTAAACTTAGGTTCTCACACAAGTATGGTAAATGCTGTTAACCACTGAGACTTTGCCCCAGCTTTGTCTGCTTTTTAGTTGAATTGTTTGAGTTGAGATGTCTTTACAGTCTATAGACAAAACTGTCAAGATACGATCTGTAAATTTCCTCTAATTTAAAAAAAAAAAATTTATTTATTATGTGTATCGCCTGCATGTACATAAGTGCACCCGTGTCGTGCAATGCTGCAGATGTCAGAAGAGGGCTTCAGATTCCCCTGGAACTAGAGTTAAGGACAGTTTGTGACCACCATGTGGGTGCTGGGAATTGAACCTGGGTCCTCTGCAAGAGCAGTCAGTGCTCTTAACTGCTGAGCCATCTTTCCAGCCCCTACATTTTTAAAAAAAAATTATTATTTTTATGTATATGGGTGTATTGCCTACATGTAGGTAAGTGCACCCTTGTCATGCAATGCCTGTGGAGGATAGAAGAGGCTGTTGGATGCCCTGGAACTGGAGTTATGGACAGTTAGCTGCAATGTGTGTGCTGGGATTCAAACCTGGGTCTTCTGCAAGAACAGTGTTCTTAACCACTGAGCCATCTCTCCAGCCCCAAATTTCCTCTAAATTTTTATAAATTGCCTTTTAACTGTGTTTCACAGAAAGAAGTTTTAAATTTTGATGAAGTCAAAATTGATGAATCAAAATTTTCTTATGAATCATGCCTTTTATGATATCTAAAACAAAGATCTCTTTGCCTACCACAGAGATTTTCTGTTTCCTTCTAAAAGAGTTACAGCATTTAGTTTTACACTGAAGTTCATGATCCCTTTGCTCAGCTGTGGTATAAGCTATGAGGTATGGCTTGAGAGTCACTGTTTTGCAGATGGATGGCTAGTTGTTCCAGTATCATGTATTGAAAAGATGATCTGAACTGAGCATGGTGGTGCACGCCTTTGATCCAGGCAGAGGCAGGTGGATCTCTGAGAGTTCAAGGCCAGCCTGGTCTACGTAGTGAGTTCAAGGCCAGCTGGGCTATGGGGAGACCCTGTCTCAAAAAGACAAAAAAAAAAAAAGAAAAGATGATCTGGGGGCTGGAGAGATGACTGGCTGCTCTTACAGAGGACCTGGGTTGGGTTCCCAGGACCCACATGTTAGCTAAGAGCCATCCACAACTCCAGATCCAGGGGATTCAATTACCTCTACTGGCTTCTGAAGGCATTGCACGCCCGGGTGTACTTGAATGCACTCAGGCAAAACATTCATATATATGACATAAGAAAATAAAAATAAGTAAATAAAAATAAAAGACAGTCTTTTCTCCATGGAACAGTATTGGCACCTCTAAAAAGGCAGCTGTCCATATTTGTGAATATGTTTGGGGACTCTATTTTATTTTTAAATATTTTATTTTTATTTATGTGTATGTCTGTGTCTATGTACATGTGTGTAGGTACCAGTGGAGGCCAGAAGAGGGCTCTGGATCCTCTGAAGCTGGAGTTACAAGCGGTTGTGAGCCACCCAACAGGTGTTCTGGGAACCAAATTTTGGTCCTCTACAAAAGTTACCTGCTAAGCCATCTGTCTAGCCCCTGGAGTGTATTCTACTCCATTGCCAACCTGATATTTAAATATGACAATGACAAACCAGTCTCTGTCTAGTTCAAAAACCTGAAAGGACAATCTGGTACAGTGGCCGAAAAGCTTACTGACTGAACACTGTGTAGGCCAGGCTTCTGCATCCAGTCCTTTCCTTAGGCTGAAGGAGACAAGCCACCCCAATTTGTCTGGACTTCTCAGGGGGACTTTGAGGCAGTCCCCAGGCCTACAGCATGCCCAGCACTGCCTGAGATGGACTGTCTACCAGGGACCTGATTACCTTTCTTCCATTTGTTTCATGCTGGACATCACTTGGTTGGTTTTTCCTTCAAAAGATGTGATGGCTTCATTCTTCTGCTGTAAGCTGCTCTCTGCATTCTAGGGAAGCAAGGAGAATGTCTGTAAGCTGCCTGCCTCCCAGGCCTGCTCCGCATTACAAATCACCTCACTGTTCACCTGGTACTTTTCAGCATCCTCAAAAATATTTCATTACTTCCTGCTCTGTTGGTCCCTGGAGCCCTGGAAGATAAACTGGGACAAGGTTCCAGGCTCTGCCAATGGGAGGAAGGGCAGAGAGGCAGGCAACTGGAGTTGGCTCCTCCATGGAGATCAAGGCCAACTCTGCTCCTGAGCATCCTCATGGGGTTCTCAAGGAGGTGTCAGCCTCACTTCGTATCAAGAGAGGGAGGTTTTGAAGAGAAACTGGCTGAAGGCTGGAGAGCCAGTGAGAGCCAGGGCCGAGTTCACACTCACATCTGTGGGACTTCTATAGTCTAGACTTTTAGCCAGGACACATACCAAGTAATCAGGAAGGGACACTCTGTATTTACAAGAGATACCATAAAAGGCTACAGAAAGGATGGTGGCAAAGGGAAGTCAAAGAATTCTTAGTTCTCTAACCTGAATAGATTTACAAATTAAGGAAGAAATTGCTGAAAATGCCTCATATCTGGAAGGAAAACAGTATGTTACCAAGAGTTGTTTTCTTTCATTCTGTGGGGGAGGAGGGACAGGGTCCCGGTGGTGTAGAATTCGCTATGTAGACCAGACTGGCCTTGAACTCAAAGAGAGCCACTTGCTTCTGTCTTCCTGGTACTAGGCTTAAAGGTATACGCCACGACACCTGACTACAACTGGACTTAAACTTTGGCTAATGTGGACGTGCCTTCAGGAGCCACAAACAGTCCTGTTGTTAGGGGCTGTGGTCTTTGTAGTTCCTGCTCCAAGGGTGTGATAAGAGCAGTGGGCCAGTGGCTGCCATGTGCTTGGTTCCTCTTTTTCCAACCAGGCACTTGTACCCTGTGTTTTGTTTCTGCTCTGTCATCCTATATGGTGACCAGTTAATGTGAGAGGGGCAGCTGGCTTCTGGCTCATAGGTCACATGAGCTTCTGGAGAGTTCCGGGCCATCAGCTAAGGGCTAAGCAGTTCCTGAGGAGCTAACTACAAACTGACAACTACATGTCCACCAACAAATATTTTCCCCTTTATTTGGCCGGTAGCTTAGAAGAGATGACATTCCCAGGGCCCCTAGAAGCCAAGTCGACTGTGGTGACAAACTCTTCCCTCACAGACCTGTGAAAGGTGATATGTAAACTGTCTCACTGTTAGGCAGGAAGACCTGATTTCTGCCTTTTCTCTTGACTTCCAGTGACAGGACTGGTGACAGCGACAGTGTCCTGGGAGGCTGCTGTTACACCAGCCTGGGTCCTGACTGACTGGAGGAGCAAGGCTGGGCTTTAAAGGCTTACCCAGTAACTTCTGTTACAGAAATACAAACTTTTGTGTTTCAAAGACAGTCTACTAAATTATTACAGCACTTGCCACTATCACATACTAACTAACTTTATGTTTATATATGGGCCAAAGCCTGAAGGAAATGTAAAAATTAAAATAGATGGTTTGTCAACTAGAAGACTAGTTCTCTTTC